TTCATACTGTCCTATATGAGTCCTATGTATTATCATTCTTGCCCTATGTGTGTTACCTATATGTATACATTTTTATATGGGACTGTTACGGTCCCATATGGGCCTATTATGATCTTACGTAGAACCTTCATGGTCCTTTACAGGACCTTTATGGTCCTTCACAGGACCTTTATGGTCCTTCACAGGATCTTTATAGTCCTTCATGGAACCTTCATGGTCCTTCACTGGACCTTCATGGTCCCATATGGAATACCTATGGAAATTTGCGGCAGGGATAAGCGACAATCACGCAGAGAGTGACCCTTCTCTGTACCGCACGAATTCCATTCTTGGTTCTTTGATGTCCTCAAGGTAGGAGGCCCACACTGGAGCGCCATAGAATATTACCGAATGCACTACTCCACAGAATAGTCTCCTGGAGTGCTCATTTGGGCCCCCCTCAGATTGGGCATCAGTCTAGTAAGAGCCAGCGACATTCTTTCCGCTTTCGGGAGCAGACGATGGAAGTGCTCCCGAAAAGACCACTTCAAACTGAGAACTATGCCGAGATATTTTAGGTGCGGGTCCACCGGAACCAAAGCCCCCTTTACTACAACTACGTCCCTACGGGTAAACCTGTGTGCCCGAGAGAACACGCACACCTCAGTCTTAAGAGGGGAGATCATCAGACCAAAACTCTCAATCCGTCTGACAACCATGGCGATCCCAAGTTCCACGCGGGCGACGGCTGTCCCCAACCGCGACGATCAGCGTGTCATCCGCGTAACATACATAACACACTACACCCCGCCGGGAGTTCCAACTGGAGGACCTCGTCATAGGTGAAGATCCATCCCTCAGGGCCAAATGCAGAGCCCTGAGGGACCCCACAGGTCATTTGGACTTTTCTATTTCTGCCCTCAAGATCTTCGAAACATATCCATATATTTGTTAGGTAGTCTTCAACTATTGCTCTGCTGGGAATCTTTTTTTATTAGGACCTCTCGTATCTTGCTCCACATTAAGGAATTAAATGCGCTTAAATAATCGAGGGAGACCGCTACCGCGTACCGGCTTTCCTCGTATACCGCCTCCAAAATCTCCTTCAGGCGCAGCACCGTGTACACCGTAGACCGTCCGGCTCGAAAACCAAACTGATGGCCGGAAAGATCCACACCATTGGCCAGACAACTACGAATTCTGCGAACCAGGATCCTCTCAAATAATTTGCCCATTTCGTTTAACAGGCAAATGGGTCTATACAACGAAGGAATCAGCTCCGGCTTGCCTGGCTTTTTAAACAAGACTAACTATGCTGTCTTCCAGCAGGACCGGAAGACTCCCTCGCGGAGGCAGGTTGTGAAACATTCCGCAACCTGTTCCACGCACTCCGGAAGTGCAATTTTAACAGTCCCGCCAAAGATTTCGTTAGATCCTGGAGCCTTGTTAGATTTCAGTTTACTGGCCGCCAACTCTACCTCCTCTGTGGAGACAGAAAAGTCTTCCCACAGTACAGCCTGCCTAAGTGTGGGCCTTATTTCTTTTTCCATATAAGGAAAAAGACCGGAAATTATACGCTGTACATCTTTTACTGGTAAGGTCATCTTACCCATAACGATCTTATATGGGCGTCCCTATGAGTCCCTTTCAATGATAGCCAATAGCTCTTTCCAGGCCCTGTTCTTTTCCTCCTTGATCGCAGTCCTAAGAGTTTTGCGAGATTGGGCGAGTTCGGCCTTCAGAGCAAGTGCAGTCCTCCGATATCTTCTATGAACCCTGGTCACTTTCCTCCTCAGGGCAATACATCTTTGTTATATAGTTGCGATTTCTCCGTTCCACCAGTATTCTGCTTTTTTCCTGGTGTTTTTGAGTCGACTCATGGCCACATCGGAGGCACCTGACATGCTCCTGCAGCCGCAGCGCCTGTTCCTCCGCTCCTAAGTCCCTCATCTGCTTGGGCCAGAAGTAGGTCGAGATACTGGCCAAGTCCGGATTCAGGCTTCTTTGATTCCGTCTTAGAAAATTTCTAGAAGTTGAGCTCACAATGTTACTGCTTTTCCCACTTATGTTCACGTAAATATATTTATGATCTGAGAGTGTTTCTTCATTTGTGGCCACCTCTCAGGATCGAATGATCGGAAGGGCGGCCGGCGTAGCCCAAGAGGGTTTAACGACCGATATCCCCTGTGGTCTCACACAGCATTACGAGTAAATCGGCTCGTAATCATCGTTCAAAAGTCTGAGATCGCGTGCGAACGCCCACGTAAGCATAACATCTCCTCGAGCCCTAGTATGCGTGTTATCCCACATGCGCGACCGGACGTTAAAGCCGAGAATCAATAAAGGTCCACTGACGTAATTTGCTATCGCATTACCCACTGAACTCAAATACGCACGGAACTGGTTTGCGTTTTTGTTAGGTAAAAAATAGCAAGAAGACACAATCATACCCTCCCAGAAAACCCAGACGTTGTTAAAAAAAGGCAGCCATGGGTGTTTCTTCTGTCGACCTTGCCCATCTAAGGTCATTTGGGACCCGATAAGGCTCAGAAATGCAGGCCAACCCAAAGTCCTTATCGAGCATAGTCTGCATAAGCAAGTCTTGAGCCTCTCTTGACCTATTCAGGTTAATTTGGACGATCTTGGAGAGGTTTTAGGCATATTAACCCGATCTTACATTTTCAGCCACCACGGTCCGATTGGCTGTTACTTTACTTCGTCCTGGGTTGCGCTGTAGGTTCTTTTTCGGCGGACACAGCGGACAAACCTATGATCCTGTGGTCATGATGCAGTCCTAGGTTACTACTTACAGGGCAGTCCGGTAGCCTCCCACAATCCCTCGCTGCGTGACCACTTTCCCCACAATTGAAGCAACAGCCGGATCTGTCAAACTGGGACACCTTTTTCTAACACGTCCCGTCGCGAAGCATCTAAAACACTGTAGCGGCCTTTTTTTTAAGTAATTCCACTCTAGCTGTGGACCACCCCGGAGACCACCTCTATCGATCACTTTAACTGCCGCTCCCAATGGGCACTGGAGCCAGACCGTCCTAAACCCGTTTTTTGTTATTCTGAAGGATCCCAGTTTGACACTGTCAGCAGCACAGGTCCCGACCTTGGCAAGTTCCTTCACCAGTTCCTCTGGCGTAACAGAGGCGTCTAAACTTGATAATCTTAGCTCACCTTTTAACATGTTCCTCCCGATCCGAACCCCTGTTTCGCGGAAAGCGTCCTTTAACTTTTGGTCTAGCGCATCCGCGCCCGGTGATGTATCACCCCCTGGTAGCTCAATCAGAACTTCACCGGTGACTGTGTTCCGCATTCTGGTTTCTTCTATCGCTAAATCTTCAAGCATTATTTCATTCCGAGCCATTCGTATAGTTTCAGCGTACAATATATATTATTATACTGATTTACCAGATGAATATAGGTATTGTAATTATATATTTGATTAATTAGGGATTAAAACATGAAAGGATGACTAAGGGAGAGTCTGAGGGGAGTGGATAAAAAGCAATAAAAAATAGAAGTAAAGCGAGATTCTAAGACGGGTTTACAATTTTGCACATAAAGCAAGGTTTATTTCAAACCCTCCCCTCTGTATATTAGATTCAGGGAGCGAAGGCCTCTGATGGGGGATTGGGGGAGCGAAGCCCTCCCAGTAGGTAGCATTGGCGCAGGCGGGAAGGGGGGTACAGGGTAAAAGGCGGAGCCCCTCCCCCGCCTATTACATGGCTAATATTTATTATAGAAATAAAAAATAAATCTTAGATTTAATAGATATTCAATTTAATATACTTCCCACCTTGCGTAGGGGTCTATCTAATCTTTTGGGTATCTATTATTTTTAGTATATTGTAGACTTATCAATTTAGTAAGGCGAAGATTTAATAGGTATACAGGGTGTCCCAAAACTCGCGGATTTCCTTTTAAGTGCGGATTCTTTAGAATATTCTAAAACGAAAATCCTAATACAAAAATGTCGAGACTATAATAGTTTTTAAATTAGTAGTGATTAAAGTAGGCTAATCACAAAGCTGAAATTTCGCGCGCTCAGGCATGATGATACGACAAATGCTAGAGGTGCTACAAGGTGCTCTCTTAACAACACCGAGATTATCATTTTTTTTTTCTAAGAAATTACTTTTTTTTTATACGAAATCTATTTGTACATTAAATAATTAATTAATATCGGAAAATATTAAAGAAATACAATTACGATCAATATTACGTTAACTGTCAAAATGAATTTATAATTATATGTTCATTTACCTCGTATGCCGTCTTCTGCTTGA